TGTGTGTGTGTGTGTGTGTGTGTGTGTGTGTGTGTGTGTGTGTGTGTAATATATTTAGATTTCTTTGCACAGTGCGTCCTTCGGAAAGAACATGCGCTATTAATGCTTGATACTCTTCCGCAGCGCAGCTTGAAAGTTTTAGATTTTATTCTTCTATAAGTGAAATTTCGAGTTCACTCATTATTCTTCATTCTCGCTTCGCTCGTAACAAAAAAATATATAATTCTTCCCATTTTGTTTAAATGTGGCTGCTTGTTTCTAAATGTATGTAAATGAGCTAATGTGTCTTACATTCGAGGTAAAACAGAATTTTAGAGACAGATAGCCATATTTAGAGCAATTGATGGTCCTATTGAGATCGATCTCATATTGAAAAAAGGAAACAGAAAAAAATTAATTTCCACAATTATTTCACAAATTCGTACTTTCGTTCGGAACGCCAGCAAGAAATAATGTACTAATAGCGCATACCAATTTTAAAAGGGACGTATTGTGCAGCAATAGCGTGCGCCTTAGAGCACTATGAGGTTACTTTTTTTTATAGACGACAGAGATCGTTGTACGCACGGCATTGTACGTCGGCGAGTCTTAACTTTTCATCGTCCTTTTCCCGTCTTGCCTTCTACCCGCACTCACCGTCGTGTCCTTACAAATATACAGTTATGCAATTATAGCAACTGCGGCGCGTTGTAGGATTGGTTCGCGCTTTGCGAGATGGCCGCGTTAAAATCTAAGTTTACCAGACCAAAATGTCTTATATCTTAAAAATTGACTTGGATACCGCCGAGCGCGGAATCAAAAAGGTTTTGAAGCAGGGATCGAAAATAATATAAAAAATACCAGTTACATTTTCTTTTAGTTTTATATAAACGAGATGTAAAAATTAATTGGCATGATTACTAGTGTAACGTAATACCGATAATATATAACTTTTCAATATTATAATGGTATTTATAATAGTATTATTATTATATTATTCGATTTATTAAAATACGAAATGGAAGCTTTTACTTTTCTCTTTTATAATGCAAAGACTCACTACAGTCCAAGATAAATAAAAGATGTACAATTATTTCATATCATATTTTATAAAAGAAAACTAAGGGAACCAAATAAGTTACAACAATACATTTTCAGAATTTTACGGTTAATTATAATCGTATCTCTCTCTCTCATATCCGTCATTTTTTCCCTCAAATCTTTTTATAAAATATCGATATTCTAATGACTTTTTTTATAAACCATCAAGAATCTACAAATCTGATTGATTTGATAATATCGGCATTCAATATTATAATAGTAACACTGATATAATATCATCATTTTCAAAAAGTTATATACATACATCATGTGTGTATATATCTATATATATATACACACATATGTATTATATACCGGTATAAGGAAAATTTCGATTACATCCACATTTGAGACATTATTCAATATCGGTCATTAAAGAGGTTCAGTGCTGCGGTTTTATAAGATAAAGAGATATATGCAATATATCGATATAAAATTATTTCGGTATTCAGTCCCTGCTTCCAAGGACTTGAAAGAATCATGTGAAGAAATCACACGGAATTGTTACAAGGTCGCTTTCAGCGAAGTCTACCCCAAGCTCTAAGCGCGCTTAAATTATATTATTCGTTTTGGCGATTTAATGTCTTGGCGGTTCGAGTCCTCGATTTGGAAGGTCGGAGGTCGGAGGCCCTTCGTGTGAATCGGGATACCCGCGAGATTACGGCTCTGGGGATCTTTCGACTCGATAATCAGTGATGATTTGATGATGCGTTTGCATCATGTAATCGTCATTAATATCAAATATCTATTGCAACATGGATATGAATTGGCAGAATTTCTTTGAGCAATATATTATTGGATATTTTGAATATTTTATCATTATATAAAGAGATAAGATTACGCAACAATTAATAATTAATCGCAAATGATCGAGCACAAATTAATCCTTAAACTCCGAATTATACTGTGTAAATTTGTAAATATTTTATATTAAAATAAAAGAAAATATTTTCCGTATGAACATTATATATTAAAATAAATTACATAAAAAATATATAAACATAATATCAAACTCATATTCCATGATTGTTAGTTAAAAGTGAAAACCTAATAATCTGTAATAAATCATGTTAGATTTCTTTTGATATTACTCTGTCCGGAATTTAAGAGTTAATTATCAAAATAATATTTGCAAAGAAAATGAGAAAGTAAAGTATGATTAATCCAAAACAGACTGATATTCTGTAAAAAGAAACAAATGCTTTCTATTATTTGTTTGTGAATCGCCAGTCAAAAGGAATTGTGAATCGTCAGTCACAAAGGAAAATAACTCTATATAATGGAAGAAACAATATTTTATACAATATTTTACTAAAATTTGATTTACTCATATCATACGTTACGAACATTTTTTTAAGTCCGTGAGAGCTCGTAACCTCGTAATCGTCGCCTGCATCTCCGGCCTATTTTGAGCAACGGCCCATTGTTAGAGAAGCTGAAGACGTTTGATGAAGCGATGATGAAGCTCTCGCCGACGTTGATCGCGCTCGCGGCGATAATTTCTCGCACCACAATTGCACTAGCGTAAATTGGCATTTTTGAAGTACGTATTTCGTCGTGATCTGGCATCATTATGTCTATATCTTATCACAAGTCGTCGGTTCACCCTTTCGTCCTCGGCATGCCGAATATCTACAACAGAAAAAAAACCAAGCCATTTCATTGATTGATTTTTGTATAAAATCGGAATTTTTTCATATGACATAGTTATTGGAGATATATGTTTGCTATATTTACTAAAATTATTAGTACTTTTTATAAGTAACTAAATAATTTTTTTTTATTTAACTTAAAATAGTAAACATAAAAATATTCTCTATAGCAATAATTATATGAAATATTCGATTTACTATAAGTAAACATATAGGTAAAATGTTAAAAAATCTAGCAGCTTTTACCAACAGCGACATGTATTTTCCACTCTACGCGTTTTGCAACAAGCTGTGACTTATAATTAGGCATGATAACTTTGCCCGGCTAAGAGCCTGGCTTCGTAACACTTGAATAAATACAGATTTCCAAACTATCGTCGAATATATATCAGCAAGAAAGCCGTTAAAATTATCAAGCGATCATATTTTAGCGGAATTATCATAAAACTCCATATTTTTCACGGAAAGATAATAGAAAATTGTTATTGTCACCGTGCAACTAAAAAAATAAAATCTATCGTAATGGATAGCATAATGTTTCGATATAAAATAATCGTTCAATATTTAATTCACTTCAATCCAATATATTTAATTGCATTTTGCTTTATATCTGTGATAGATATCTTTCGATTAAAAACAGTATCTTAAATAATAGAGCGAATCAGATATTAACAATAGTAAGACCAATCTTGGAGTTTGGCACAAGAATATGTAGTTAACATTATATAACATTTCAACTAATAAATAAGTATATTTAAATTATATATCAGACGTTCCAGAAACTTCAATCTTAATTCTACCGACAGATATTTTTATCAGTTTTAGAGTTTTAAATATAATGTTTTAAAGAACAGAATTTTTTGGAACATTTAAAACCTATTGGATTTAGCGTTTAAGTAATTAGTATTTAAGAAAACTCGATAACGGGCATTCGATTAATGCACTAGCGAATAAATTCAATCAGCAAAGGCTGTCTCAACGCGATCTCTCGGAAAACGGAAACTCTTCCAAGACTGTTCAGCTGCTAAAGGGCCGTTTCGGCTATTTTCCACGCGCTTGATCCATTGCCCTAAATTGGTCCAGCTATGCGACGAACGAGTCCGACCCCGAAGAAGTCGACCGTGGCATCAACTTTTTCATTCCTGATATTGAAAAGTTTCCCCCGGGCCGCGCGAGAGCCAGAGAGATCAAAATCCCTCTCTTCCGACGCGACCTCTCGACGTCCGTCGGAATAGTCGACGATGGTCGACGACGGGAGCGATCGGAAGCGATAGTTCTGCAGATTGGTTAAAGAGCGAAGAGGAAGGATCGCGAATCGCGACGGGAAAAATGGGGAAGGGTGATTTGAGCAAGAGAAGAAGCTATTGGGAAGAGAAGGAGTTAGGTGGAGATGACGTAACGCTGTCGTTATATTAGGTTGTTACAAAAATCGCGTCGATTTCTGCGAGAGTGACTCTCCGTACAAAAGCGTGCGAAACTTCCGTAACACAATTTCCAACGAGATTCCGACAAGAAGTTATAGATGATGAGCAATGAAGCGCAAATATATGTAACGGAATAGAAGTAAACGGTTGATAAAAACGGATAATTGTAATGATGCGAGTCACTCAACAATAATGCGTATCTACTAATAATCGAAATTATAATTAATAATAGAGATATTTGATAAAGAAAAAATATATATATAAGAAATAAAGGAAATTAGAATGTAATAACTAATATACCTATATAATGAAAGTCAAGAAGAAAAATGATCAAAGAAAATTAAAAGAAAAGAATGAAAACAAAACAATGAAAAGGATCGTCAAGAAGGGCAAAGCTTAAAAAAGTAAGGATGATACAAATAGATACCTAATAAAAATATAAGGAATGACAGGAAACAAAGGCGAGAGAAGTTGTAATCGTCAAAGGAAGAGAAGAACAAGGACAAAGGAACAGGATTAAGATAAAGAGCAAATAAAGAAGAATAATACGGAAGGATATATACATTGCGAGAGAGAGAGAGAGAGAGAGACAGGTTCAAAGCAGCGAGGACATGATGAGATAATAAATATCGAAAAAGATAAGAAAGTAAGAGCAAAAAGAGCAAGGATTGTACAGAGAAAGACTGTGTTAAGAGAGCAAGAACGATATGGCGAGATAATAAATATCGGGAGAGACAGGAAAACAAGGAGAGGGGAACTTCGTTCGATTCGAAGAATGCAAAGGAGCGAGGATAGCAGGATCAAGATCGAAGCTGAAGTAAAAATAATGTATAAGCGAGCGGCGCTAACAAGGTCGACGATGCAGGATCAAGATAGGGACCCAAGAAAGAAGAACACGAGGCGAAGTTAGGGGACAAGGACAACAACCTGAAGTAATAGATACCGGGATACTCCAATCAAGAAACACAAAGAAAGAAGAACAAGACAAAGAAGTAGAAGCGAAGGAACGAAGCAAGGGTGGACCAGGTAACGGATATCAGGTTAGTAGTCGAAGAAAAAGAAAGAAGAAGAAAAAACTAGGGGACGAAAATGCGGGAGCAAGAGAGAGAGAGCTCGCAACTTACATTCGCGATCGAAGCATTGTTTAGCGAGAAGTCGATAGCTGATATCGATGGAGTGAGTCGATGCACGCAAACCTGCACGACGGGGGGAGAGGGAAAAGAGGAGGAGGTGGAAGAGGGGGAGGAGGATTTAGGGGGACGAGCAGGATCCTCGTCGTCGCCGTCGCCGTCGTCGTTGTCGTAGTCGACGTCGTCGAAGTGATTTACATGCACGCCGAGGTGGCTTTTACCGTTCGTGAACGTGTTCGTAACACGTACAACGATACGTAGCCTCGTACGTGTGTATGTATTGCGTGTTTGTGAATATTTGTGCATGTGGATATGCGTGTGCATACAGGCTACATTCTCCACTGTCGGCTAGCTAACGCCGAAATCCGGGAATTGGGTTTCGCGTTGGCGGGCGCGTCATTACTTTGTTTATGTGAACGAGAACGCGCTGAGACAGCGAAGAAAAAGTGTCCCGTACGGGTAGATCTGGACGGGCTAATATTTACCGGACGGGTGGTAGCGCGGAGCGATAGCGCGAGCATAGCGTTTCACGATTTTTTCCCTCAGCTTTATGCATGCGGCTGATCCACTTTGTGAACGACGACCAATCGCCACCCGCCCCCGCTGCCTGCATTGGCAGCATACCAATACCAAACCGATTTCCGTTTGTTCGTTCGACCGATGTACTTCGCTCGCTACGAGGTATTTCTTCTCTCTTGTCACTTCCGTTTCGCTCTGTCTTTCTATTAGAGAGAAAGATTCGCGCGAGAGAATAATGCAAAGATAGTACCAAGATATGGAGTACAGAAAAAAGATCGAAATGTAGAATATAATGATTTAAATATAATATATAGTAAGATATTAAAAAGATATTAAGCACATTTTAAAAATGATTTATTTAATTAAAATTTTGTGTGTAAAATTCCGAAAATCGTGAGACTTAAATAAATAATTAGCACTTTAAATAATTAGTACGCTATCGAATCATTACTTAATCTGCTTAAATAAGTAAAACGCAAGGTAAAATTATCTTGTGGAAACATTACATTTTATAGTTAATTTAGAAAATGGTATTGACTTATTGATACTCTCTAGAAGCAACAATGTGATTTGTTAAATGATTAATTACATCAATTTCAAGATTATAGATGCAACATTGATAACTTAGAACGTTCTCTATTTTATATCAATTTTTAAGTTGGTCATCATTAGCCTTCTTGTGTTTTCTTATTTCGACGATTCCGTCATATTTCTCCGTAAATTCTTAATGATCATTGGTATTCCCCCGCGACCTTGAGCAAGACGTCGTCGGAAACATCTTCGTCATCGATTCAAGTGAGAAGGCAGGAAGTGTACACCGATTAAGTATACGAGGGAAAAGCGGCGATAGAACAAACGGAAAGAAAGAAAGTGAAAGGAAGAAACTGTGTCTTCTCAAATACCCACCTGCGAATACCAGACTTTACGTCGAAGAATGTAAATCCACGAGTAGATTTAACGGCGTTTTAACGAGCGCAATCGTGTAATATTGTTACGCACATTATTACGAGATGAAACGCATTACGTGTAATCGCGAACCGTCAATGGATGCCTATTACCAGTTTTTGCTGTTAATATCTTGCAAGAACATTGATTTTGAATCGATCGTAATTTACCTATTTAAAACATACAGTGATAAAACGATAGATTTTGCAATAGATATCATAGTTAAGATATAAATTATAGTTAGACATTCAAAAAATTATATGTATGTAAAATTGCGTTTCTATACCATGTAGAGGCAACGTATATCTTTTTGTTTGGATTAAGTCTAAACCTAAGCTAATATTCTTTAGACAAGGGGATCGCTCGAAGATTCGACGATTTTCTTGACACGTGTTTCACGTGGAAATTCGGTGCCGGTGGATTTAGATAGCAACGGAGAGGATAAAACGGTAGAGGGAAGAGTGGGTAGCTGAGCGTTCATTCATTCGCACAAGTACAAAAGCTCTCTCAACGGGATGAAAGATCGGGCGTCGATGCTAAAACGCGGCTCCCCGCCTGGACCTGCTAATGGATTCTGCACTCCGATGTCATCTTCCTCTTTTTTCACCAACTCCGGCTCGAATCCATATACTTTCCGCTTCCTGCGCCTCGATTCCAGGTGCTCGCGTTTCGCGTTTTCGCATGGTATAATGTATAATTGGGTGAAATTAGAATCGGGGATATATTCACTCGCTCACCCATGCGATGGAGAGAAAAAGTTCGAGTATATTTTGCGATTCATTATTACGTTAGATACCGAAAATCAGCTACGTCCAAGTAGGATTTAAGTACTTAATGGATAGCGCTTAAATACTTAACGGGAAGAAAGAGAGATCAAATAATCGACATAGATCCTCGGAGGAACGGAAAAAGACAGTTTTATCTTCCGGGTTCACGTCCCCATTACGATTCGTGATTTGAGT